TTAACTTAAATGATTTTAGCAAATGGCTGCAATATAACAAAGAGTGAAAAATTTAAGGGGGTCTGAATACTTTCCGTACCCACTGTATAATGTCTATGGGTCTGAAAAGCGAGGTGTGCTCTGATTGGCCAGCTATCCAGTGCGTTGTGATTGGCCGAATACCTCAATCGTGTGACGGATATGTTATGCCCCTTACCATACTGTGATGCCTTAAGCCCCGTTCACACTAGCAGCGACTTTTGTCGCTGCAAAAGTCGCTGCATGTCGCCAAGGGCTGGCGATGAGGTTGCTAGTGGGCGTTCTCAATACTGGTTGCCTTGACAGCGAATCAGGTTTCTTGCCGCTAAGAACAAACATTTTGGAAGCAAAATACTAAATATAATCAAAATCTAAATTAAATTCGTACATACAAACAAAAATGAATGAGAAACAGAGCCTACTTTCTTCCATTGCGTATGTTTATCTACGGCGCTGAGAGGAGAACGATCACATGAGCTCTACCGTCTTCTTTCCTATTGGCTGTCGCTCCTGAAAGTCGCTCTTCATTTGCATAAAGTTGAAGGATTCTGAACTTTGTCGCGTCGCTGGACACGCCCCATCCGGTCGCCAACGGCCGCTGTCGCTCGTGTCGCCGGAAATCGCCAGCTCTACATTGAAATGAATGGGATTGTGTCGCTTTGCTGATGCGTGTCGCTTGTAGTGTGAACGGGGCTTTATCCCAGAGCGATGAGACAAAAACATTAAAACCCATTATAAACAAGGCATTTGTTGCATCCAGTGGGAACATAATTACTGATTATAATGACTTATACTGTCTTTTTACTGCGTGCATAAACATAAAACCATGTCTGAATTTGTGATCAGAGAAACGACAAACAACAAGTGCTACTCTATACTGCTCCAAACTCGCGTTTGAATCGTCAGTGGCAAATTCTTTAAATATGAAAACATACTTACAGACTGTGGGTCAGAAGGGCCAGACTGTCCTTGCAAAGTTGGAATTGCCCCACTTTATAGAAAAAGACATATATTGTAGGCTATACTGTCCCAGTAAACAGTCCTCGTCCTCCATAAAATGCGCTGCACACATCTGAATATTTGGTTTGAACTGTTCTGGAACAGTGTTGTAAATACAACTTAACCACTTATTTCTAATTGTGTCCTCTTTTAGAAGGCCAAACAAAGAAGTTTCGCTTTCATAACGAAACACACAGCGTCTCCACAACATGGCGGCGGCGGCGGCAGAAACAATACTACACCGAGAATCAAAGTTACGCCTTCTTTCTTTCTGTTAACATTTGGGCGGTGTTATGCAAATCTTCCCACATCCTGACTTAGACGTGGGGGCGTGTTAGAATGAGCCGTTTTAGGTAGGCGTGGTTGACTCTTAACTGTTATAAAGAATATCTCTTTGGATTTGAGACTTTAGTCTTTGCAACTTTACACCTTCTTTATGCACCAAGAGCTTGTAACACTCCAAAGAGAAAGAAAAAATTGAAATCGCATCATATGACCCCTTTAAAAAAAAACATGTCCCTTTTAGACTTGCACTCTATTAATTTACTAAGTACTTGTTTTCTTTAAAAAAAAAAAAAAAAAAACTAAGACTACCTTTTCTAATATTTGTGTATTCAATCTATTTGTTTTCTTTTTATTTATACAATTAACAAAAGCAAAAAAGGCCTCTAACACTACCTTGCTCTATTGTTTTTCTATTCTATCTCTTTTCTTTTTATTTATTATATAATTTAAAAAAACTTCCTATGTGCGAAGCTAACTGAGACTTGTTATAGCACTTGCATATCATTGCTCTTTTGTTGATTTTGATTGCTTCCATTGTCCTCATTT